CACTACATGTAACAGACAAAGATTTATAGCCATAATATGTAAAGACTGCTTACAAACAAATGAGAAAACTGTAAGCTAATGTGATTATGAAAAAGAAAAATATAAATTACCAATATATTATATTTATAAAATATTATATTTACAAAATATTATATTTACAAAAATATAAATTACCACCATAGGGAAAGATCTAAAATTACCAGAAATTGGGGAAATACAAGTAAAACAAGATATGTATTTTTGCCCATGAGATTTGTACAAATGAAAAGGGTGAGTGTTCATTATTAACGAAGATGTGAGGAGCACCTCCTCTTGGCAAGGGCCTTTTTATAAAGCAGGGTATCCGTAGCCATCAGCATTTAAAAGGAATATCCTTGATCCAGAAATTTCAATTTTAGGAATCTTTCCTATAGGGATACTTACAAACGTGGGTCAACACACACATTGATACCCACACACATATGCATGTACACACAATCTTTGGGTCATAATAGAAAAAAAAAAAAAAAAAAAAAGGAACTACCTAAACATCCATCAAGTGGAAAATGTAAGGTCTCGTATATTTGTATTCTGGAATAATGGCCTCCATAAAGACTGAGGTTGGTCTATATATTCTTGTTTAAGATGTTTGTGATGTATTACGTGAAAAAAACTAGAACAATGTTTGTACAATGATTCCATTCATTAATAAGAAGAAAGCCCTTATTCAATAGGCAAATGTACAAATACACACAATGGGTGAACTGTGCTCCCCACCCCCAGGACAGCATGGCCCATAAAGGGGAACTTTTACATTATACACTATTTCATTCTATATCGTTTAAGTTTTAAAGGTCATTTTTATAATAAAAATCCTTTTCAAATGGAACGCAACAAATATGCCCAAATATGTCCATAGAATTTGAAAATATAATTGGATTACTCTGCTATGAATGGGTATCTGCATCGCTTTCCATATTCAGGAAAAGATGACCTAGGACAGTGGTTGGCAAACTCATTAGTCAACAGAGCCAAATATCAACAGTATAGCGATTGAAATTTCTTTTGAGAGCCAAATTTTTTAAACTTAAACTATATAGGTAGGTACATTGTTATTAACTTAATTAGGGTACTCCTAAGCTGGCCTTTGCTAAAAACGTCCTCAATCTGATTGAGGTACGTTCGCTGAGGTCGACCCCCTTCCAACTCTCCCATCCAACACTCGTCTTGTATACTTGTTTCGTCTATCTCCTTTTGTTCATCCTGTCTATATGTCCAAACCATCTCAACATACCTTTCTCAATCCTCGACACTACATCTTCTTTCACTCCACAGCGTTCCCTGTACGTGCGCGCCGGCACGTGGTATTTTGTGGAAGAGCCACATTCAAGGGGTCAAAGAGCCGCATGTGGCTCGCGAGCCGCGGTTTGCGGACCACTGCCCTAGGATGACATTCTGCAAGTGGAGGGTTAACCCATGAAGACTTTGTGTGAGATCCCTCACTGTAGTTATCACTTTCCTCTCTTCCCATGGCTGTAAAGCAATGAAGTTTTCTTGGGAAACAAAACCATTTGTCAATTTCAGGGCTGGATTTAACCTGAAAGGCAATTTATGAACACACTGCTATTCATCCACAAAGTAAAAATAAAGGTTAGTAAAACGACACGGTATTATGGGTTCAGGCTTTTTTTTAAATCCTCACCTGAGGATATGTGTTGTTGTTTTTTAAGTGATTTCAGAGAGAGAGGAAGAGGGGGAAGAGAGTGTGTGAAACATCAATCAGTTGCCTCCCTGCACACACCCCGACTGGGGATCTAACCCACAACCTAGGTATGTGCCTGGACAGGGAATTGAACCTGCAACCTTTTGGTGCAAGGGACAACGCTCCAACCCGCTGAGCCATCCTGCCAGGGCTGGGTTGTCTTCATGATACCTTGGCCACCTTTGGCCTAAGCAGAATTAACTCCCTGCTTAGGTCAGTGACTGCTTGTCACTGCGGTGATAGTCCTTGGGTTGGCAGCTCACCCCTCTGCACATATCCTCACAGCTCTGCTGAGTCGCACTCCTTGTGTCCTCTGGCCCATGCAGGCCTCAGTCCTGTCAGCAGTAGCTGTCCTCGCAGGGAGCACACCTGCGCAGGTGGAGCCATGCGTCCCAGAAGAGAGGTCTTGGCCTCAACATGGGTGCTCCAGACTCATTCATTGATGAAGTCACTTAACTACCTGACAGGCACCGCCCCATGCCTGACACCAAAAATACAAGATAAATAGAAGTAGGTTTCTGATCATAGTTTCCTATGAGAGACAGACAGTCAACATCTTATAAGTAGCAAAGAAAGGGATCCAATCACATGGCCACACAGGCACCATGTGACATGGGCACCAAAAAACACGGGATGTCCTGGACATGGAAATGTTATGTGCAAAGGCAGGGTCATGAAGGCAGTGTTTCTGGGTTAACAAGCATGTCACACATCCTACAGCCTGTGAGGATAAATGAGGTCACATTTATCTGATTGAGAGAAATTTCAGTCTTTTCCAGGAGGCTCCTATCATGTTCTGATAGTCCCTGGGAATGGTTTGGGTGTACATAAATTCCCCACAGGAAGTAGATGCTGAAGTCCTCGGGGATGAACTGGGCACCCAGGGCCTCCGGAGGCCTTGCCAAATCAGCCATTAGACCTCAGGGGTGTCCAGAGCAGTGACACTAGGAAGGGGAGGTGGGGAGCTAGGGTCTTGCTGACTGCCAGCCTCTAGGCCAGTGGTTCTCAACCTTCCTAATGCCACGACCCTTTAATACAGTTCCTCATGTCGTGACCCAACCGTAAAATTATCTTCGTTGCTACTTCATAACCGTAATTTTGCTACTGTTATGAATCATCATGTAAATATCTGATATGCAGGATGTATTTTCATTGTTACAGATTGAACATAATTAAAGCATAGTGATTAATCACAAAAACAATATGTAATTATATATGTGTTTTCTGATGGTCTTAGGCGACCCCTGTGAAAGGGTCATTTGACCCCCAAAGGGGTCGCGACCCACAGGTTGAGAACCGCTTCTCTAGAGCCACTCAGGGCATTGCTGCTTGAACCTCCACAGTCAGCCTTGCTCACTGGGATCTGCCCTTTTACTGCCGGCTAGGGGTGTGCCCAGCAAACCTGCCTGGCCTTAATTGCTCCCCACCAGGGGCTCAATAGTTCAGTTCCCTTACACTCAGCTCTCCATTCTCTAAGGCGCACCTCTGAACCAACGGCCATACAGGCCCAGTGCCAAGTGCAGTCCAACCCGGTCCAGAGGGTGCGATGTAAATCTCCATTCCCTCAGGTATGTGGGGGCCAAGGATAAGAGCGGAGGACACTGTTACAGGGCAGGACATGGCGGAATTCAGGAAGACCCTCCATCTACCCCCATCCCGGCCCCTGCCCCTCTGTTCCCAGGGTGTGGATGGTGGAGGCACACAGCTGCAAATACTGGGGGGAAGGTGGTACCCAGTCCCCTTTTGCATCATCCCAAGTGTGAGCCCATAATGCTTCCCATAATGCCAGTGGCCTGAGTCCTGCTGCAGCAAAAGAGTGTGCATTGTGCACATGTGTACATGTATGCGCATGCCTTGTATGCATGTGTACCATACAGGTGTGTATTTGTATGCATGTGTGCATTGTGCCCGTGTGTGTATGTCCACACGTGCTTTTGTGTGCACATGCATGTGTGCATGCATGCATGTATATCTGTGTGCACACGTATATGTGTGTATGAGTGTGCATGCCTGTATGTGCTGCAAGTGTGACGCAGTAGCATAGTAGAGAGAGCTCCCCCCTCTTTCTCTTGCCCTTCATTATACCCCACACCTCCCCACCTCACAGCAAAAGTTGGGCACTGTGCTCCTCGCCGTCCTCCTGAGCCTCTCACCCTTTAACGTGATGCCCCTGTGCAGACAGTCACTTCCTTTTAGCGGGCGGAGACTTGGGAGCACAGGCAGCCAACACTTAAGAGCCACGCGCTGGAAGCCAGGAAGCAGAAAGTCTGGGTTTGCAGCTGCCCTTGAGCACTGAGCCTCTGCTCCTCCCTGCGAACTGAAGGGCTTGAACCACCTCCCTCTCTACTTGACAACTCACTGTGCTGTTCTTCCAGAAGTAGCTCCTTGGCGCTACACTTGTGTGTGAAGCATGTGTTAATGGCATTTAGACCATCTCTTTCATGGCAGTGTCAGAACCCATGGTGACCCGGCTGCTCATAAAGTGTGGTCCCCGCGGAGTTCAACACAGTGGAGATGTATTTTCTAAATTAACTGGTACTTCCAAAGGCAGCGGCTTTGAGGAAAGGAGGTTGGAGTACTTTATCAACATAGGTTTTCTCTTCAGTGTGTACCATGTGGGTCCTGTGTGGATGTGCTTTGGGAAACTCAACCATGAAGATGGGTTTAACTTTCTTAGAGAAATTACATACTGGGAGGAACAGCTGCAGTTTTGAGAGACTTTCTTAACTCCCCTAAGGGTGTGCGAGTCATCTCACAAGAACAGAGTTTAGGTAATGAAGACGCTGAGCTTTTCATATCCAAGAGATGGCCCTTAAGGGCTCACCTGCTCAGTAGGTGTGTCCACCAGCCTGTGGCGTACGCACTGGGCTGGTCTTTGCATTTCCCGTGTGGAATGGTGTCAGTTACAGCATAGCACCTCCAGAGGTCTCGTAGGGCCAGTGGAATACATTTTCCTCTGGTTCTTCTCATTATAAAATTGCAAAGACAGATTTGTCTGAGCACAGGGTTAGGCTGAGACCGCAGGCCTGCCTGGGTCTCCTTTTATTTAAATGTTATTAGAATGTCGAAGTCTGGCAGTGGCCTTGGGCAGCAGGCCTGGGGAAAAGTAGCTTCTCTCTCATGAGGTTCCCTTGAGGAGCAGATTCGTGCAAGAGACCTTCAATGCCTGGTGGTTGTCATGGTCAGAGTGCCTTGAGGAGACGGGGTCTGGGGAGCTGAGTGGGGCACGTGGTTAACACGGTTTCCTCTTCCTTCGCAGCGGAGCTGGAGTTCGCCCAGATCATCATCATCATTGTGGTGGTTACGGTGATGGTCGTGGTCATCGTCTGCCTGCTGAATCACTACAAAGTGTCCACGCGGTCTTTCATCAACCGTCCGAGTCAGAGCAGGAGGCAAGAGGACCGGCTGCAGCAGGTAAGTGTGGGCCTGCGCCTCTTCTGTGCTGCCCAGGCCTCTAGCCCAGGCTCCAAGAGTGCGGCCGGGTGCCCGTGAGGGCCACGAAGCAGGACAGCCTCTCGTGTCAGCCCACCATGGCTCAGGAGTATGGGAAACTCTCCATCGAAGGTCACTACACTCATGGGAAAGCATGTGCATCCTGAATGTTCAGCTCAGTGAATCCTCACAAACTGAGCGCACCCGTGTAACCTGCACCCGAGCAGCAGAGGGACAGGAGCAGCCTCTAGAAACACACCCAGGCCCAGGCGTGCCCCGCAGGAGGTCACCACTGCCCGGAGTCGGTACAGATGACTTTCACCAGCTTGAACTTGATAACAATAGGCTTATACAATAGGTGCTCTTTGGCGTCTGCCTTCTTTCGCTCACATCACACTTCTGAGATCCATCTGTGTTGTTATGGAGAGACCCGTCCTTGAATACACGTGTGCTATTGACCTGCATTTGTAAGACTCTGAGGAGGTCAGCAGTGCTGGGTGTGGCTGGAGGGGCGGGCGGCGGTGGGACAGCGAGGGCTCGGGCCTCCTCGAGTGCCTCAGGGCGGGTTGGTTTGTGATGGGCTTACAGAACAGCCTATAGTAAGGCTCTTCAGGTTGGTTTTTTAAAGTTTCTAGCTACTTCTGAACCACCCTCCACTAGAAAATAAAACACTGATTTTCAGCTTAACTGCTCTGTGATCTGCACCTGGTAGACCAAGGGCCACCGGAACTTTCTGTTCTGAGCTAGTTTTGCAAACTATGATTCTGGCGGTTTTTAGTTTTTTATTTTATTTATAAATACATACATAAAAGAATATATATATGTATATATTCTTTTATTGATTTTAGACAGAGGAAGGGAGAGGGAGAAAGAGGGAGAGGAACAGCAATGTGAGAGAGAAACATGGAACAGTTGCCTCCCACATGTGCCATGACTGGGGATTGAACCTGAAACCTTGGTATGTGCCCTGACTGGGGATTGAACCTGAAACCTTGGTATGTGCCCTGACTGGGGATTGAACCCACCACCTTTTGCGGTACAGGATGAGGCTCCTACCAACTAAGCAACCTGGCCAGGACTGATTCTGGCGATTTTTTGTCAAAAGCATGGGAATGGGAAATTTAGGTACTTATAAATTGTTGGCTTTGGTGGTGGGCAAAGGAGGCAGAATTCCCGCATAATATGAGCTTCTCGGAGTACGTGTCAGGACCAGCGCTGTCTGGTACCTGGCTTAGGGAGACCATCGTGAGTGTGGGGTACAACTGGCCTGGTGGGTATGGTGCAGCCCAACCCAGGGCCCCTGGGACCTCTTAGGAGGTCAGAGTCGTGCTTCACTGAGGCTGCAGAGTGGCTCAGTGAGCCATCAGTTCTGCTGTTCTCATGGGTAGAACTCAGGTTTGCCAAGGGTTCTGTGCCCATGGCATGCAGAGAGAGAGCAAAGGGATGGGGCTTTTGTGTGCCACCCTTCAGACCTACAGAGCTGCCGTGACAGTGACAAGAATCAGTCCTTCTTGCTTTCTCTTGTCCTCTGCTGTCCCCTTCCTCCATCTCACCAGATCCCCAGCTCGGTCCACAAGTTAACCTGGCTTTCATCACACCACGATGGCTTTCCTGTGGGACCCCTGTTATCTCGGCAACCTGGCACCTGCGGGGTCCAGACTCACAGGACACTGGTGTCCTGAGCCGGTAGATACCCCCTCTCTTGCCCCCCCTCCACACAAACACACTCTGTTACCTGAAGGAGAGAACCAATTCCTCCGAAGTTCTAACACAAAATACACGTAATCGTCCTGAGTTTAAAGAGAGAGGACAGATACAGCAGTAGTTTTAGAACTATAAAAGAATCAGCCAGCATTGCTTTGCCTGAGCCTTAATGCGAGGACTATAAATTCCGACCCCTGGCCTTGGGGAGAAATAGGTAAAACTATCCCACTCGTTATCACCATCAATAGGCAGCTCTCAAGTTTCTGGGCAGTACCTGCCATGAATGTGTCCAAGTTCCCCATCTTACACTTTCTGCTTCAAGCCCCAAAGTACTTGGAGCCACTGCACTTGGGCAATTCGGGTGCATTTGCCGTTGCCCAGCCTGGGCCCCACCACCCCGTCCTCCCCTCAGGGTTGCTTCAGGGATCATCTTTCTGCCCCCTGCCTCGCCTTGCCTTGGATAGGAGAGGTGGCTCCTTCCTCCACACCTCAGCACACACCTGGCCAGGCCTCCTCTCACTGTCCCCAGCCATTGCTGCCTTCGCGCCTGCTCACTGGTCTCTGTCCCCAGACTGGTAGCTCCCTCCCAGACAGTCACTCTGCATAAGGACCAGCAAAGAGGGGTGGCAGGAAAACTATTTTACAAAAAGAGAAAATAAAAAATGCAAGTGTAGTTTTACTTGGGATGTGTGTTCTGTTTCCCGTGGGTAGTGGGCCTCCTGTTCTTGAAATCAAGAAAGCGATAAAGTGACTTCCAGAGGTTCCTGCAGGGCCACCACTGCATGGCAAGTGAAGGTAGTCAGCAGCTAAGATCGTGTCTGCAGAGGTCTGATCACCGCCTGTGTCTAATTTCATTAATAAACGCTTGAAAGTTCTGCCCCTGGGAGCTCAATATGAATGCTGTTGCTTCCCAAGGCTTGAATTTTCCTCCCCAATAAAATGGGAATGTGGCTATCGTGCAGCTTAGCAATAGCCAGTGATGGCGAACCTATGACACGCAGGTCAGAGGTGACACGCGAACTCATTTTTTTTTGGTTGATTTTTCTTTGTTAAATGGCATTTAAATATATAAAATAAATATCAAAAAGATAAATCCTTGTTTTACTATGGTTGCAAATATCAAAAAATTTCTATATGTGACACGGCACCAGAGTTAAGTTAGGGCTTTTCAAAATGCTGACACGCCGAGCTCAAAAGGTTCGCCACCACTGCAATAGGCTCTGTTCAACGTTTCATAAGCTCAAGATATAGTTTTTACACAGTGACCAAGACAATTCAGGCCCAGACGGTAGCTCCATTTCATGACTAGGACCATTAGCCTAGTTCAGTGGTCAGCAAACTGCGGCTCACGAGCCACATGCGGCTCTTTGGCCCATTGAGTGTGGCTCTTCACAGTTTGCCTACCACTGGCCTAGTTTATAGTCAAAAGAGGAAAGAGAGAGGGTGAGGAAGCAACTTAACTTCTCTCCTGGACTCAGATAGAAATCTCACGTGCGGTCCTTTGGCCCAGAAGGTGCTTCCTCACCAGGCTTCTTGCCTCCCAATTACCTACTTAGAAATGCCAATTCCCTGCATGCAGCCCCGGGAGGGCAATCGGATTCACTTCCACTCATGTCCCCAACCAGCGGGGATTTGCCCTCTCAGGGACATTTGACGATTTCAAGAGACATGTCTTGGTCAACTCAAGTCGGGGAGTTGTTACAGGGCTGCTCTAAACATTGTGCAATGCAGAGGGCAGCCCCACAACAGAAATGACCTGACCCCAAATGTCAGCAGTGCTGGAGTGGGGAGCCCCTGATCTCACGGGTACTGGACGCCACCCTTCCCAGAGGCACTCGCTGTTGAAGAGGATGCCTGTTCATATAAGTGGATCTCTCATGGCTTCCACAGAGTGAACACTTCCCAGCAGCTCGGCAGGAAATGTTAGGGGTCCACAGAGAAATTGCGTGTTCAAGACGGTCCTAGTCTAGGAGTCTGCCTTGGGAGTAGTGTCCCTCCAGCGGTTTCTCCCTCCTTCATTCATTCGGTCATCCACCGGACAGGAGCCAGACACTGCCCAAGATAATGAAGAAGCAATGCCAGGTGTCCTTGCCATGCTCTGCCCTTGCCCCGCCCCCACCACCGTCAGCGGCATCCACTGAGCTAATGCTAACTGGCATTTTCTCAGTCTCACTGGGGGAGGCCAGGGGTCTCCAGTGGCCATTTTTGTGTGTGCATTGGGGTGTGTAGCAAGTGGATATAAACTATAGGAGGGATTTGGGATGGGGCATGAGGACTCGGCATGGGCACTTTCAAGCTGCCCCTCCAGAAAGGTGGCTCTCCCTCCACATCCCTAGGTAACTGCCTGTGCCAAGCAGCCTCCTCCCCTAAGGGGCCTAGAAGAGCTAGGTCCAGACTTGGCTGGCAATGGGGAAGGCCCTGCCCTCACTGATAAAGCACAACTGATGGCCTCTGGGCTCCCCGTGGGGTGGTGCAGATTTGTGCCCGCTGGTGAAGATGGATAGGTGTTTGCAGTGGCTGCTGTGCATGTGGTTTCGTGTCTGTTGTCAGAGCCCCTGAGTGCCTTTCACTTTGTCAGCATCTAAACCCTGCCATCCCAGGGGCCTGCGTGGCGGGGGCTGCGGCACCCAGCTGGTTAGCAGCTTGTGGGTGTAGGTCTCCACTGCCGGCCTCCCTGCGGGTGAGCCTGTGCATCGCTGGGACCCACTTACTTCTGGGGGCCCTTTGGGCCCATTTGTTCTAGAACTCTCTGAGGTCTCCATAAGCATGTTTGTAAAAGGTATATTTATTCTAGATGCTGCGAGAAGGGTTGGGCATCTAATTTATCGACTCCTAGGTAATTTGGTTGAACACTGTTGGTTACATTTATTTGTGTCTATTTCTGCTGGAAGACTTGGTAGTCAGGATGGAAAAGTCAAAGACAACAGTTGGGTGTGTTTTGAGAAGGAGGCTTGCTGAGCAGGTAGATGTTACGATCTGGTTGAGTAAACTTCACTACGCTGGGGTGAGGAGCTGCCCGCTCCGCCCTGACGGGCTTTCCACCAAAGCAGAAGCAAGACCGGTTAGTAAGGTGGGGTCTCAGCAACTCGGAACATCCTGGTTTTCACAGGATCTTCTTCTGGAAAATGGTGGGTTGCACCAGTTGTCCAGGCTTGTCTGGATTCTGGAAGGTTTTCTTTGTGTGATGCCCTCATGCCCGACTTTATCACGCCCTGTCTTCCTCGTGCAGCCCCTCTCTCCTGGTTTCCTCCCTTCTCCCTCCAGCAGTGCCTGCTACA